CACAAAAGGAAAAGAATGTGGTTCGGATGTGAGCAGCCGTTTCTTTGGGGGGAGCGTTGCGTGACATCCCAAAAAACGGCTGCGGAGGAGACTAAGGAATTTGTCGACAAAGAGTGAAAGATAATGGTGAAAGGTATCCTCCCTGTTCGTTGTGCGCTGAGCATTGTGTGTGGAATTGAGCGTTTTCTGGGGTTTTCTGAGGGTTACATGTTGTATTCAGGAGCGGGGTGTTCGGATGACAATTAACGTTAACCGGTCCTAACCCAGGATTGAAATTTAACTGAAGTATGAATTTTTCTTGTATTGCCGGTTTTCATCTGAGGTCATCATTTTCCAAAATAAAAAAAATTACCAATCCTTGTGAAGTTTTAGTTTCATCAGATGTAAGACCCTCTAATAACTTGACGTTTTGCAACGTTTAAGCCTGACAGGTTCTTCATTATGAATAGAGCACGTGTGAATTTCCAAGTTTATGCGTTGCGTGACATCAAATGGCAGCCCAATAAGGCTCTCGAGTAGGTCAAAAGATGAGTCATTGCTCAACGTTTTGCTAACTAAACAGTTATTGCACTAGGAGAAGTATTAATTTCAATGTGACGGAACTCTAGAGTAATAACTTTTGGATTCGATGGCAAGACTCATTGATAGATGTTTCTGTTAGTTCACGGCCGCCCCTCGGAAGCGCACCAACACGGCGTCTCCATATAACGCTCTTTAAATTTGGGTAAAACACTTTTCCGAATAACGCGCGAATGAATAATCGCAAAGACCTAAATCTTGGCGAGGTTGCTTCTTGACTTAATTTTTGAATGGTTGCGATTTATTACTCCCTTGGTAGAGACTGCCGGCTTATGAAACTGTTACAAAGCTTAAGATAAGGTTTTAAAGTAAAATGTCTCAATAAAGAATATAAAGGTAGATACTAATACAACGTAGTTTGATATTTTATAGTATTTTAATCCACTGAACGTTTCATGGAACCCACTCATCTCCTCTCGCACTTCACCTCGACTTTGCACCTCCAAGCCAACCGTCTACGATAACGTAAATCGTGTGGTTGAGGAAAAAGAGTCCCATATTGAGCCAATAAGGAGACGCGACCTTGAAAGCCCTTTCTCAGTGGGAAAACACCTCGAACGGTTGCCACAAATAGGGGACGACAAAACTGCTAGAAAATATTTCGAGAAAATTGACAAGAACATGGCAGTTCCGAGCGAGCCGTTTTCGTTAACTCCTCACACGAAAGAACTTTTATTTGAAAATGACAACTGCTGACCAACCCATTTTCTCTGTTTTGTCGCTTGAGTTCCCCGTAATTCAATTTTGTTTTTCCGTGAGTTGATTATGTTTTGCCGGGAGCAAATTTATCTTGAAGTGAACGGATTTTTTCTCCCTGTCAGATCTCTTTGTGTTGCCGTGAGTTTGTTTCTTTAAACGTTTGTTTTGCCTTGACAGCTGTCAAGTTGTGGGCCAAGAAAAAAGATCGCGTGATGATCACGCTTGGCTCAGCTGAGATACGAATCGTTTGATAGACCATGCTACATTCACCGTATTTACGCCGTAACCTGAGCTGACTTTTGTCAGGTAAGTGATTTGCATTTCACATCATATTTATATTCCACTACTGCGTTGAATCACGTACTAATACCAACTGTAATCCCACAATGAAGCGACCGTGAACACAAAAGAAATTTGTTTACAGAAACGTGTTCACGAACGAGTACTAATCATCCGAGTATTTTCCTCGGACGGGCACTTAGGGCTGATATTAAGAAGCTTAAGAAATCCACGACGGCAACGGCAACGGCAACGTCGCTAAACAAAAGGTTTGATGAGCAAAACAATGGCTTTGCACGTACGTTATAATTCTTAGTACTTTTCTTTACCTTCCTCTGCAAAACAGCGACGTGAAATGACCAAATTCTGCGTTGTCTGGAGAACGCAAACCACAACGGCTAATTTTTATAATTTATATTTCGAATTTTGTACTGTGTTCCATATTCAGTTTCGAAGTGGTTTGGACAAAGAGAAACAAACTAAACGACCTAAGAGTATCGAGGGATTTGCAGGTTGTCCCCGGCGTCGCCGTCGTAGCTTCTTAAACTCCCGTTTGTTTTGCCTTGACAGCTGTCAAGTTGTGGGCCACGAGAAAAGATCGCGTGACGATCACGCTTGGCTCAGCTGAGATACGAATCGTTTGATAGACCTTGCCACATTTACTGTATTTACGCCATAACTTGAGTTGATTTTTGCCAGGTAAGTGATTTGCATTTCACATCATATTTAAGGTCCGCTACTGCGTTTTATCACATACTAATAACAGCTGTAATCCCCGAATGAAGCGTCCGTAAACAGAAAAGAAATTTTTAACAATCTATATTACATCATGTCTTAAGCTGGATAACCACAGACTATAAGTGACTAAACCCAACCGATTACTTAACATCCTTGATGGCATTCTCGGTAAGCATGAGGATCCCGACGATTTCATCAATCGATGAAATAGTACCAAGCTTACCAATATCTCATGCCTCTATTCAAACAATAGGGTGTTTCTGTCGGGGAACTATCGGCTGATAGTCGTCAACCGGAAATTTGATGTTTTTAAAACAAATATGCTAGTTTTAAGAACATCAAATTTCCAAGGGCAGCTATCAGGCCGATAGTTCCGAGACATAAACACTCTATTGTCTTTAATGTTCACCACTGAATTTTCTTCCGCGCGTCAGTTCAAAAATCATGTTGAATTATTTTCAACTTTTTTTCTTGATGAAAGGCGTGAAAGGCAAATGTAAAATTTGAAAAAGAAAACAGACGAAAACCCAGTAAATACAATTTTAATTGTTTATTTTCTATAAGCCCGCTTGTTTACAGGAACATGTTCACGGACGAGTACTAATCATCCGGGTATTTTCCTCGGACGGGCACTATCGGCTGATAGTGTCTCTCCGCGGGTGAAGACTATCGTCTCACGTGATCAATTTAAATCGATAAGAATCGGAGAAAATTTAGCAGTGAACTATAAGGACTGATATGCTCTGTTGAATTTAACCAATGAATTGTAATCTTCTCTTGTAAATGAGCTGTTCAATACCTTTGATTGTAATATTTCGAGTCAATATTTTTTCGCTCGACGCAATTTAAACTAAAGTCTGCATTGAAGTATAACGTATTTTATCCTTTCGTGTTTGAGCTAACTTGTCAATGGAGTATTGGTTTACCTCAGAGCCTAAAATACGCCCTGCCACTGTGCCATAACAGATACTCATGCACCCGTACGTATCAGTTAAAACAGTCACTACTGCTCATTAAGCTTCATTAGTATTGCCTGGAGATATTGCATTCAGTCCTAAAGACCTACCATTAGTTGAAGCCCTCACCAGGGCCAAATGGGACACTCTAAGAACCTATTATAAGAACTCCATTCTGAAACTAATTTATAAAATGTACTACAATGATTAACCACCCTGTATGACTGCACATATTGCAAAATCACAATCCTCCTATAATTTAAGAAACAGCCTTAAGCTGGAAATCCCTCATTTTAAATCAAATATCAAGAAATCCTCTGTATCTTACAGAGGTAAAATTCTGTGGAATTTCTTACCGATTGGATGCCCAATAGCAAACAGTGTAAACAGCTTCTCTAAGATGATCAATAATCT